AATGCGGCCGGGCTTGGCGCTGGCCACCCATCCCCTCGCGTGCCGTGCCGGCGTCAACGGTGCTTGGTAACAGCACTTGCTCCAACAGTCTCGTTAGGCTATACGGGGGATCTTTGTTTGTGTGTCAGCCGCGGGGAGCGGTTGGCGCAGTGGTTAGCGCGCTGAGCTACGAATCTGTCCACCCGAGTTTGAGTCCCGCTCACGGCCACCAACACCAGTGACGATAATATCTGAACCAATTATGGGTCTCCCCTAGGTCGACTCAGCCTAAAACGAGTACCCGGTGTGGTGTGTATTAACACAAAAGAGACAAAGGCGGCCGGGCGTGGACCAGGCCACCCATCTCAGTCGTAGGCCACGACGGTCTTCATCGGTGCTCGCGAAGAGCACTCGCCCCAAAAGTCGTTTTAAGTCTTTACGGGGGGGGCGGGGATCTTTGTCTTTGCCATCCACAAAAGAGCGGTGGCGCAGCGGTTAGCGCGCACTGCGCTACCAAAACCGGCAACCCGAGTTTCGAGTCACCCAACATCGGTGACGAATATCGATCCCGGGTCTCCTCCCCTAGGTTGACTCGGCCTCAAGCGAGAGTTATCCCGGCGCGGTGCGTAAATATCGCCACTTAGGAAGGAAAAGTCGGCTGAGCGTCGCCCTGACCTCCCCCCCCCCGCTCGTGTGCTCGCTAACAGCCACTTTCTCCAACAGTCCGTTCAGGCTATACGGGGGATTCTTTTGTTTTTGTGTGCCTGCCAAGCAGGTGGGCCAGGTGGCCTTTCCGTGGTTACAAATTACCTCCCCTACCCACCGCCCTCCGCTTTTCCATCCCCTTGCACCAAACACTCTCCTACCCGTACATTTGTTGATAATACACACACACACCGAGCGGCGATTACACATGCAACGCGACTCCCTACGGCTGAGCACTTTCGCAATGATTACCGCCTTTTAATGATAAACCATAGAAGCTCGGGTCTGTTTACAAAAAAAATCAGCAAATATAAACGGGATATTACTATGTATCTTAAATGGTGCTCATTGTTGCTGGCCGTTCGGCGTTTCGGGTCACTTACTCAGTAAAACCGGAATACAGATATGTTTTATACGTTACTACATTAAAGAAGGTCTGGCCAATATATAATGTTGAATATTTGTATTATAATACTCGAAATTGTTTAGAATTTAAATAATAGAGATTTTAGCAGCGTATGTATTCTTGTCGCAACAGTAGCTTTAGAATGTGTGTCTCTGAGATGTATCCTGCGCGCATTAACTAATTGTATTAAATAATCCTTAATTATTTTTTATGAAGTAACTTGCGCGCGCGTGTGTGTGTGTTGGCAATTAGGGGAGCGGTCGTGTGGCTGTCAGGGCGCTGCGCTACGAACTCAGCGACCCGGGTTCGATTCCCGCTCACGGCCACCACAAGTGACAATTATTTTTACCGTTCCTAGACCTCCCCCTAGGTCGACTCAGCCTCAAATGAGTTCCTGAAGTGGTGTATAAAACATTGCCACTCGGGAGACAAAGGCGGTCTGGGCGTGGGTGCTGACCAACCCACCGTCTCGTGTGACGTGCCGCCCTTCATAGCTACTCGCTAACAGCGCTGCACCCCAACAGTCTGTGAACGCTATACGGGGAGATCTTTGTCTTTGCCGGTCAATTAACCATCGACTGTACCGTATTGGCACACATCTGAACCGACCACTGTGCGCTACTACAACGCTCTATGTACGGGCGATCCTAATTAGACGCTTGTTCGCGTGGACAAACTGAAGCGGCATCGTCGGAGTAATTGAGCAATCACCGTCGTCAGAGGCACACGGAGGGAAAACAAGCAAAGTCGTAAGCGCACGCGACGGATAACAGTCATCTTTTTTGGGCGAATTTTGCGACTGAATTCTCAAGAGTTAAAGGAGGGCGGCGATATTCTCCAAACCCGGTCATTTTCAGCGCGATCATTATTATTCTGACAGGTTGTGATTTCCAGAACATGCGGTGGGAGGGGAGCGTCGACAATCCGCGTGTACAAATAACAATCATAGAGGGAATGGTTATCTCCCCACCACCCCTACACTCACAAGCTACACACGTGCATCCATCGTACATGAGTGCGTATTAGGGCGAGCGTTATCGATTGCGGTCGAATACGTGCCCTTCTTATAATTACTTTAGCCCATAGGCCCCAATTATTTAAAACATTAATTATTTTTTTTTACATCCAGCACCATTATGGGAAAACGTATCAGCAATCGATAAACGTACTTCATCCAACCACCAGAAAACACATTTTTAAGTCAATCATCATTTTTTGCAGCCGAGGGAGAGATGTAAAACCGCAATCGGGTGCCTTGTTATTCACAATTCAACCTCAACTTTGGGGTTGTGTGGGATTTATGTAACACTTTCACAAGATCGCCGACCGTCTTTTGAACCACGTCGCCGTGTTTTCGATTATCCGCTACGTTATACTCTCTCTCGCGTTCACGATGCGATTTGGGGCAATCGCCACGAATAGATGAAATCACTGTAAAGTACACATTCTTGAGTGAATCATTTGCTCTAAGAATCGAACTCGGCGCCTAGCGCTGACCACAACAGTTGTCTTGCCGAAAAGCTGCCCATCAAACACAGTGAGTGGCGCGTTAACGCTGCTATCGTAACATACGCTGTGGTTCTACAGCACCTAACGTCTTCACCCCCCCCCCCCCCCCCCGTTTTATCTATGGCTCTTCAATAGCCCACGTTAAAACACTCTGGTCTCTGTGTGTATGTGCCATGGAAAAGGGCCACTGGCTAAAGCGTCGGCGATTTTGTTGTATGGCAGTGTTATTGACGAATGTATTGAGTGTGTTTTGTTAATTGTGCTTTGTGCACTTGCCAACGCAGCATCACCAAATGTGTTTTTTTGTTACAACACGGGATGAATAGAATATTTTTTATCAAGATCAGATTAGCGAGCACTTGGCTACATGAGTATAAAAAATTGTATAGTAAGCTACTTACATAATTGGCTCATAAATTACCGCATTGGGCAATGGTCCTTAATCAATGACCTGCATGAGGCTACTGCCCCAACCGCGGTCCTTTGAAATGTAACATTGTAATAAGCAACGGTTACACATTGTAACGGTGCCTGTTGGTCTCCTCGCTGTCACCAACCGTATCGTGGGTCGCCAGCACCAAGCTGCGCAATTGAACCCTTTCATTCCATCCTCTCTCGCACTCGCGAGCCTTCGCCACGAATGAGTTCATAGCCACATTCAGCGGAGCGTGCTGAGAGAGAGAGAGACCGGTAGAGCGTAAGCGTTAACTGAGCGTGGTGGTCACCATGGTCTAGCAAGCGGCACACTACAATGATCATCATCACCAGCCATGGTCAATCCACTGCTGGATGAAGGCCTCCCCATGCCGCTGACGCCACCTCCCGCTCCTGCGTTCCTGCGGTTGTAATAACCCACCGAGCAACACCCTGCACACTAAGCGATGTCATCGCTCCATCGAGCCCACGATGTATGGTCCTCACGAACGCACTGAACCATCATTCGTCTTCTTGGCCATTGGCCATTGTCCCATTCGAGCGACTTGTCCTGCCCAAGCCCACTTCACTTTCCCTAACAGTTCGCACAGCCACACACACGCACACACAGTACCTGCAGCGGCTACTGCAGTGCACCGCACATACTCAGAACATACGCGCGCGCGCACACACAAATGCTATCGCATTGAAATGCGGCCAGTGTGGGTTTGTGTTAGCGGTCGATTGTGAAGCGTATACCCAGTATTATATGGTGTTTAAACGGCTGCTTAGGTATATATACACTATCAACATATCATCGCGTTGTTTGCCTACGGGGGTATTTTTTCTGCTTGCGAAATCTGTGGTGGTCTGAAACCATGCGTCCAGCTTACCCGGTAGTTTCCGGGCAACGAATCTCGTGATTGCGTTGGCAAACTTCCGAATAAGTATATTACTATTACACTAAACAATACGTAGCATTTGGTAGACACTGCAATAGGGGGAGCGGTAGCGCCGTTGGCTTGCGCGCTGCGCTAGGAGTCACGGCCACACCAAAGTTCGATTCCCGACAAGGACGACCCACGTCAGTGGCGAGTGACATCAGAACTAAGTCCATTCATCACCAATGCGCACGAACCGGCATGGTGAAGATTGGTTAAAAAAAAACACGACTTAACGGTTGGGGCATCATCCAGCAGTGGATTGGCAAAATCCTAAACATGAATGACTGCAATTGTAATTACAATAATTACGTGATGTCATGATCGTGTTGTAGGCTAGATCACGGCATGACTGTGAACGCAAACCTATAGGGGACAGAGTAATAATGTGCGACTCGGGTACATCGACCATTCCGAATTGACTGCAGTTCTCAAAACTTTTTGACCGCATCCCAACAACATCATCTTGTACCGCATGTTATAGTAAGCACACGTGCTCGCTAACGCGGCCGGGCTGTACAATGCCACGCGTAATCATGTTAAAGATAACTGCACTGACAAGTCCCGGATAGCATTCATTACCTTCACAGCTACGAGTGTAGCATTCGAGACAATTGTAAGGGGTTGTTGTTGTTGTTTAAACAGCAGACATCACCCCTCCGGCTTGTCGGAGGTAGCGTGTCCGATGCGAGCACATACTATAGACACTAGTTTGTGTTGCCAACGCGTGGTGCGCATTGAGCGTCAAACACACGGGGATATCTGGACGCCGAGCGAGTGTGTATAAAGCACGTGCAGTCTCTCCCGTCTCCGACAAGACAGTAAACACACACACACACATCCTAAGCAAATTAATAATCACAAGAATACAAATAAGATTTTTTTAAAAAACCCAGCCTGGCCAGCGTGCGGATGATGGTCACCCCGTTGCCGCATCACACAGTAGCCTATGTAAGCACAATGGGAGGAAAGAAATCTCACAACACACAAGCGCAAATCCCCAACACTATGCGGTTGGCCAAACGGGCAAAGACGATGATCGTTACCTTCCACGCCGTGGCTGGCGGGGACGAGCAGCAGCACGAGGAGCAAGCAATCCATGTTTTCGGAGCCCCGAACATAAAAACAAAAATCGCGTAAGAGACGAGCCCACAAACTTGACGCTCCTTCCCACTCTGCTGCATGCGCCCTTCATTCAGCGCTACTACTCACATGCGCCGCTGGGCCAAACCACTGCGCGTCAAGCAGGGAGGGTGGGCGAGAGGGAGGGGTTTGAGAGCGTGAGAGGGGAGGGGGTGAGAGGGAGGGGAGGACGGGGAGAGAATGCCGATGTGAATGACTGACTCCTTAGAAAGTGCCCAAAAGACACTCTCGAATTTACCAACGAGCGCCATCAGTTAAAACACGTTCCAAAATGATCAGCGCTTGGATTCCGGGACTATCACTTGCAAAATACCTTCGTTTCAAAATGTTGAACAGAACAGAAACGTGTACACAATGTCACGCGTAGCGCTGTGTGGTATGTGTGTGTGTGTGAGAGAGAGTGGTGAGAATTCATTTACAATAAAGGTGGTGTTGGGCTGCAGCACTCGTTTATTGCCGTATAAGGAGGCAGAGATTGTTGGAGGTAAAGAATGGACGGACTCCCCGGCAGCTGGGGAATAAGGGCAACATCTTGTGATATGTGCCCAGGGTTCGTGTAATTGTTGGGAGTAATATTAGCCACTGAAAAGTGACAATAGGGGCCATTCACTGCTAATCGGGTGGTCCGTGCGATTCCTTAGTAACTCGTGTCAGGTTTAAAGGCTCACTCGCCAAGGCGCAATGGAGCTTCTCAACCTCCGCGTTCGGTGAGCAAACTTTTCCAAAAAAGATCTTCATAGGCGCGGCACGTACTGTACGTATTATGTTTGTTCGGAATTGTTACTGCGTTGTCAGAACCTCTATTTGCCGGGCCAGAGGCCATTGAGAATGCGAGTTGGGTTTTCAAGGGTCAGGGGAAGCTCTTGACGATTTTGTCGAGTCGTTTTTTTTTGTTTTAAAGGAGACCTCGATTACAAAGGTAGGTGCGTGATTTGGGAGAACACGTACTTTTAAAATGAATGTGTCGGTGTATTAAAAAAATTTTTTTACGGGGTTTGGAGCGGCGGCGCTGCGGTTAGCGCACTGGACTATACAGCCAGAAACTTGAGTTAAATCCCGCCTGGCCACGGCTAACATCGGTGACGAGCGGTGTCCAAAGCGGCCCCGATTCACCGCACCCTCGTCGCCAACTCGCACCGGTTAGGGTGAAGTATGGTCAAACAAGCCTCGTGACCGAGACGACATGAAGAGAGCACTTCAATACAGCGAATGTAAATTGTCATTGCAGTATTATAATTACTAAAAAAAAAACAGACGGTTGTGCTCAAAACAATGACGATCGCCCACTTTAAAGGCCGTGGATTAATGGCCCGTCTTGCCGTGAGTGATTTTAACGTACGTGCAGGATACGATTTGTTGAATTCAGGGAGCAAATTTCAGCTCGGAGCTGCGTGGGGGCTCAGCTCCGGAAAATACCTCCACCGTCTGCTTCGGTCTCATGTGTAAATTGTACGCTGTACGAAGCAACATCATCAAGAACCGCGAGGCTGCCTGCACTTTGTGTTACAGCATACGCATTGCTTAACCAGAACACCCCTGGACGCACGTATGAACACTGCAGGGGGCTTTCACGAGCCTGAAGAATACACGAAGAATCCACTTACGGGATACATACGTTACGAGCGTGATGGATGACGCGTTGATGGCTTGATGCAAAACATTTCACATGCCACCCATGACGGGATTCACAACCCCGGGCTAAACGGTAAGTGAGCAATTGCTCAACCTTTCACAAGCTCCTCAACGTATCTGCCAAACGTGTAATTTATTCATATGTAGTATGTATATGGACCTACTCTGCCCAATGCGCACGCGGCTCACATACTGATGCGATGCGCTTCTCCTTATCCCAGAGTTGGGCAGTGGCGATGCACGGGCGGCGTACATTGGGGGGGGGGGTGGCGGTTAACGTCCAGCGAGCCCCGAGTTCGATTCGCGACCACGGCGATCATCGTTGGCGAGCGATAATCCGTTCCGTGCTCATTTTTCACCCAAACCGCACGCCCCTTACGCACACGGCGTGGGGAGGCCGTCAACCAGCTTGAGATTGACGGGGGGGGTGATGCATTGTACTTTATATATATCCTACATCATCATCCTAATCCCCTGGTCAATCCACTGCTAGATAATGGCCTCGCCGAGCTGCCCGCCACCACTCACGATCCGCGATGTAACAATTAACTTAACACCTGCACACGAACTGAGTTTATGGCTCCATCTCCTCGGCGTGTGTCCGCCCCGAGGCATACCGTTGGCGTATATACACGCGCACATCATGTATTCGCGACTAACAAGTGACGAGTCAAACGATCGCACCTACAACTAAAGGGGAACGCGAGACGCGTCAGTAAAAATACTGACCACGTGCCTAATGTCACTCACAAGCGAAGGGCAATTGTCTATGACAGGGCTTCGGACGCATGGGGGGCTCTGCACTGGGGAACCGATGCACCACACCACACGACAGCGCAGTGAACACTGGGGGGGGGGGGGGGGGTAACGTTACACGAGAAATGTCTGCGTGGCTTCACCAATCCGTCGTATCATTTTCGCGGACTACCGCTGACATTTCGGTGAGTGACAAGGCGGCGCTGTACCTCATGATGAGCGAGACAAATCGTGCAATTAGCACGAGAGCGTTGCATTGAGCAAGCACGGGGCATCAATGTTTTTAGTATTTGCCAATGACTGCAGTAAACACGCACGTGGGAAGGGCAGGGCGTGCTTTACGCGGCTTTCTTCGCTGTTTCTACGCATCAGATATTTGTTTACAGCCGTGGGTTATTTTGTTTCCCCCAACTCACACGCCCCTTGCTTTCTGAAAGACCGTGCCCGCAGCACTTTGCGCCGAACTGCACTGCCAAAAAACGCCGCTCCACAACCCTCCACAACGGCGCCACCGCGCATCTCGGCTGGCTTAGGTCGCCCCCTGCAGACCACGCCATCAACTGTGGTAGAGTTGGGAATTCGGAGAGTCGAACGTTTACATTTTACATTCGTTTTAGTGATTTTCAAAGATATAGATGTACCCGAATACAATACAAATGGAATGCACAAAGTGTATACCTTGCAAGCGCGTTTTAATGTGCTGCCAATCATCATCAATATGGATGTTGAGGAGAGTTAGAGAGCCATCATTATCACCAAATGTTCAACTCATTTCTGGATGAAGGCCTCTGCCCAAGTCACGAGAACCAACCTTGACTAAATTTAAATAACCAACTTCATATCCCAAATCTTGTTTTATTCGTTTAAGTTAACTATAAAACAAGATATGAAATGTTGTTGTGATGCATTGCAGTATTAGCACTGTTTTTGGTGGTCAGGTGGGAGGGACGGTGCAATCATTTCCACACTGCACTAGGGCCAAAACCTCGAGTTCAATTCCTGGCCAAGGTGCACAAGACAAAATACCAATTGGTATTTAAACCTGTAGAGTACCGTACCACCCCTAGGTCCACTCAACCGAAAATTATTCCAGGGTGTGGTAGTGAAGCAATGCAGCGAGACGTGTTTGGTTTTGACCACGCCGCCACTCCTTTGCGTGCTATTGCCACCAGCCAACTCGGGTCCTCGACTGCAGCTCTCCGAGGGGGTGTCCAGGTCGGCACGACGTGCCACGTACCGGTGCGAAGAAACCCAACTGACCCTGCTTGAGTGCTGAACAGCATGCGGTGCGGCCCGAAAACACACCGCAGAGAGTCGCACACACAGCACAACCGCGGCAACCTTGCACAGCGGTGTTGGGTACGCGGGAAGCGGTGGTGCAGTGGTTAGCGCACTGCGCTTACGAACGCGGCGACCCGGTTTTGATTCCCCCCTTTTCCCGAACAATAACAGAGGCCAACTGATCCCCCCCGCACCTCCGATTAGCACTGTTGGCTACATACGGTGCGAAAGAAGTTCAACATACGTGCTAGGCTTAATGGCACTCGCTTCGGCGGTCTAAAAATATCAGAAGTGGATTCTGCGTGAGCGCCATGCACACTTTTCGCTGAACATTTCGGGAAAAATAATAGTACGCCGGACTGTCATCATCGGAGCAGGAACAGTTGCACAGGTGCGACGCATTACCTTCAGAGAGTTCCATTTCATGCACGGGTGAGCCAGGCACTTCAACGCACCCTTACCTCTCCACCTTCTCTTGTTTCCGGATATGTTTTTTTTTTAATATTCCACAGTGTAACTTTGCGAAAGTTTACAGTACTCCCAGTGCTGTGCGGGATGACAGGTCGCATGTGTCAGTTTTTCTTCAAGGTCCATCACCAGCTAAATATTAAGTGTACAACATCGTTTCATGTTGCATTCCATTCTACTGCAGTCTACATTGCCCTCTATACAAGTGCCCCCCTTTATTTTTTTCCCTCCCAGCGTGCTGAGCGCAAGATAACATGCAACGTGATGTTAAAGTCACACAGGGCAGAGTGGCGAGCTTTTCAATACGTGACGCGCAGTACAATTTCATACGTGGGCTTGTGTATATTTTTCAGGCATGTCATTAGCCCTTCACAGACGCGCCCAGCTACTTTTCTGGAAGCTTACAACCCAACATTTTAAAATCTTTAACTACTCAAGCAAGCACACACGTAAGTAAACAACCGTGTCAGCACAGTTAAGCAGGCAAAAGTATGTGCACAGACTGCACTTTACTACAGTGGGAGGCGGCATGATTTACCATGAGGTTTACTATACGGCTTAGTGTGGTCTCCTCTGATCCTTATCAATGGCATTGCTTACTTGGGGGTGCATCCAAGTGGGAACATGTAGGGCAGACTTTTTCTGGCCTATTTTCAGGAATGAGTGGGCAGGCCTTGTGTTTGTGTGCGCGTGTGAGGACATGTTGCGTGACTATGTGCGCGTGTGTGTGTGTGTGCGCGCTGCGCTATGAACCCAGCGGCTCGAGTTTGATTCCCGCTCACGGCCAACACCAATGAGTACCTGATGCGGTGTGTAAACGTTGCTACTTGGGATACAAAGGCGGTCAGTCGTGGTGCTGGCCACCCACCCTCTCGTGTGCCATGCCGGCCTTCATAGGTGCTTGCTAACAGCGCTTGTCCCAACATTCTGTTGAGGCTATACGGGGGATCTTTGTCTTTGTGTGTGTATG